TGCAAGACGTACTTAGTGTTACATTCAGTAGCATCATTATAATACACTTCAACACATTTCTACATGCATATTTATTCAGTCTAAACATAGGTCAATAACCTAATGACCTGCCCAAAAAAACATTCTAGATATTTGTCTACTCTAAATTTAGCTATAATTCTGGACTTTGAAAGAAAGATGTTGATTTACACTATAACATTACATTGACCTGTTTTTGATCAAATGGTTTAGAACAAAAACTACAAATTAGAAGGAGTTCAAATTCCCTGTGTAGGATTCAGGGTTTTAATTTATATAACGGCTTTTGCTCTTGTTTCTTTAAATGCATGCTCATGCTGAGTCATTGTTTTTGGCTTTTCTATTTTATTTTTTTTGCTTTGTAATCTCTACAGACACACCTGTTAAAGTCATGCAGTGGAATTATAATTAATCATGAAAACTGAAATAACATTACACCGCAATAAAAAATAAAAGGTATTGCAGAGGCACTGACACCTCTTGAACCTTTTCACATTTTGCCACGGCACAACTACAAAATGTTCACATCATGAGGCATGCCATCACTGTGTTTCACTGTCGGGGTGACTTTTTCAGCATTAGTTTTCCTCTACAGGCCAAAACACATATTCTACCCTAAACTTCAATCAGACGTTCCTGTGACTGTCTTTAAACCAAGGCCTTCTTTCTGCGTATTCATATAAAAATACTTCTCAAGCTCACATCTAACTGTTCAGTCAGCAGATTCCTCCTCCTGTGTTATTAAGGTCCTCATGACTGCTTCTCAGATCAATGTTCCTCTTGCTTAGCTTGTCAGTTTATGGCAAGATGGAAACACATTGCTAAGTTTGCAGTTATGCCATACGCTATCCTTTTTAGAAAAATAAATTGAACACTGATCTATTCAAAGCATGGGATATTTTTTCTGTTACTTAACCCTTCTGCTTTATTTCTTATCTAGTACATTTAGATAAGCGACACCTGAGAGAGCTAAGTTGCCCTGTATTATACTGAAGGGTGCTAAAGAATATTCAAATTAAAATCAAATTAAATACAGAAAAAGATGTGGTTGTAACATTAAAAAAGGTAAGAAAAAAAGTAGAAAAGCAATAAACACACAGGACAACTTAAAATATCACACTTTATTCCTTTGAACAGTGTTGGACTAGATAGGGGTTAGAGAACAAAGCAAGAAAACCATAAACAATCTACTAAATGCTTTGAGCCCAGACTTGAACAGAGAAAAAGCTACTTTATAGATCATCAACATAAGTTATAATCATTTACTTCATATTACTTTATCAATTATTAAACCACGTGTAGATTAAACCATGTACACTCATGACAATGGAGTTTTCATTTACTAATATAGAAACAATTAAATCCTTTTATTAGAAAAAGAAACAAATAATCTCTGATATAATTTGAATATTTGCCCTGAAATAAAGCTCTGTCACTGGCCAGCAGAATTTAGGCTCATTTAAAAGTTACATAAGAAAATAAATACATAATTTAAGTAAAATAATCTTTATGATATAGATTGTCTCTTATATATATTTATAACTATGATTTTTCTTCACATACTTCATATTTTCTATATTCAATCTACACAATTACCAAACAGGTAAGATTCAGCAGACATTTCACAATAGTCACAAATCATGAATGCACTACTGAACATATCTAAATTATCTAAACCTGGACAATCATTTTTCATGTCAAACAAATGTCAAGTAAGTTGTTTTTTTAATCAGTTTCAAAAATCTGGAAAATACATGAAAGATTCATTTCCTTATTTTTTCTGAGGATATCTACTCGTTATTTCTTAAACTTACATCTAATATTGAAGTCAGAAATGTATCCTGTCCTCACCACATTTCTTCTAAGAATTTTCACAGTCACAAATATATGACAAAGAGGAGTCAAAAACAGCACTTTACGGCACAAAAAAAACAACAGTACCGGAATGTACAGTATGTCCAGCAGCAAACCATGCAGGTACAGCCCTGGTCCCATTCACCGCTTCTGTAACTCATCCATCCATCATTTAAAACACACACACACACACACACGCTTTCAGAAGAACACATACATAGACAGCTAACTATGGACATACAGAAGTTACGGCCACGGCACGGTCCTACTCTAACAGCCTCAAAGTTACACGTCTATAACGGTGCATCAGAGATCACAGTAACTATGAAACACCACGACTGAGACTACTGTTATCGTCTTAATGATACCATCAATGGGAGACAGATCTGAGAAATACAGAAATTTTTTAATAAAATAAAGCATTAAGTCATTTCATCCTTTGTACTCCCACTGTGGTGTTAAATGATGAGACCTAAAAGTACAATGAGATTCTCTAGCAGATTAATCCTTGAAATTTCATGCCCACTTCAGTGAATTGATCCAAATTAAACTTTATAGTCTGAGCCAAAAACTGATGATTTGAAAATGATTTGAATCAGGAGGGCTCCCAAAATTTCAGCCTGTGACCCCAAAAATAGTAGTGCACGAGACTGGCAAAAACCCCTAAAAAATGTTTATTAACTTTATACAGTACATACAACAAAAAAAAGTATTTTTAAATGACTTAAAAATATAATTAATTGCTTGATTTTTGTATTTTAATATATAACTATATCAATTATTTGTGCATTTTATATTTTGAAGATTATTTTATAATTAAATAATGATTCAAATATGCAATTTTTAATAGGAAATTAGTATTTATATTACATGGGTCATTAAATAGTTTTTTGTGACATTTACATTTATTGATATATCTATTTACTTGATTTAGTTTAATTTGGCCTACTTTACATTACAGGGTTCACATAACAATGATTTCTGAAAAAATCTTCCTTTCAGACCCCTAACCCTAACCCCCCCCCCAGTGTGGGTCATTAGGCCTAATTTGTAAGTCGCTTTGGATAAATGCGTCTGCTAAATACATTAACATAAACTTTGGGAATCGTCCTGATTTAAATGTTGTTGTGTTTTGTTTTTTAATACAGACTTAAAAACAAACCCAAAAAAACTAATTATATGAGGAGGTTGTGTCCAGGGAAAAAAAAAAGTCACACAGGATCAGCTCAGATATTGTTGTGACTTGGTAGTGCAGGCCCAGCCGAGAGTTACTCAACCAGTTCTGGCGAGGCAGCTGTGCTGCGACAGCCGACACCACCACCCACACTATTTAAAGGTGCTCACTTCTGGTGCTCACTTCTTACTCCTCAGACTAGCACATGTTGTGCATCTGAGGGCTTCCAGAACCTTTGCTCCAGACTCACTTTGGTTCTTCTCTGTTCTTAACGCACCTAGGAAATGCACATTTCTTATAAACGGCTCCCTGCATAATTGTGCAATATCTTAATGAACCTTGACTGATCAAAGCAGGGGATTATCTGCATGGCAAGCCAAGTTATACAGCTTCCGCTGCACAGTAACGGGTAACATGAGCAGAGGTGGACAATTGAGGTCCAGAAAGTAAAAAGCCAGCCTTGTTTCCCTTCATTTGTTCATTTAACTAAGCAATTGATTCCCATCTATGTCCTTGAAATAGAAATGCAAAGGTTGAAACTGAGTCCTGTACCTGGTTTTTCATTCCCACACCTGAATGACCCTCTTCAGACTGGCAAGGAGTTAATGCAGTGCCTTGCAAAAGTATTTTAGTGTATTTTACTGGAATTTTATGTGACAGACATCCCTAATGATTGCGAGGTGGAGGTAAAGTCATAGTCTCAAATGTGTATTATAGAACAGTAAATATCTGTAAGTATCATTAAAGACCAAGGAATAGAGCAGACAGTCGGGGATAAAGCTAAAGATGTTTGGATCAGTTTATATAGCACTGTTTAAACCCTCAGGTGCATCAAAACTCCTGTTGTCCTACACTGCTGGCTTTATTCCTGAAGGTCTGCATCTGTGATTTATGTTTGAATCGTATTCATGTCTGCATCCAAATTCTGACTGCATGTTTAGACTCTATGCCGAGACTTGACATGTTTTGACAGAGCTCGATTTTTGGAAAGAATTGACAAAGTATTTAGCATCTACATGTGCAAGAAGACTTTCATCTGTTGCATTGCGTTGAAAAAGCTGTTTATTAAAATGTTTTTTTTTTAGTGTGATTAAAATTTGGATTTGTAAAAACACTAATAAGGACTACTTTGCAAAGGTAGAATCCCATAATCCCATAGAATCCCATAATTTAATGTCGTAATGTGATAAAATGTTTACAATTTTTAGGAGTAAAAAAATACTTTGGTAAGACACTGTACACAGTTTGAATTCACTTCTATCAGGCCTACCTGTTCCAGAATACATAAATGTCACCTTGTTTATTTTCACTACTCAGAGCCAACTTCTTGATACATCAAATACTGCTGTGATAGTGATGACTGATTGCTTTAGAACTGTGATCTGCGAGTAAATCTTAAAGCAGGTTGTCAGCTTCCTGTACTGTCTACACCTGAGAACGGACAAAGGTAGAGAAAACACTGACAGAGTGAAAGGTTTAGAAAATAAATAAAACATGCCAAGTGCACAGCTTAATAGAATTACTCAAGGCCAAGTAGAACCATCTGACAAACCAGATGACTATTCCTGAAAAAGATGGCAATATAAACTGTATATTTTCTGCAGAGAAAACATACAGAGCGCTGAATGTATGAAATAAAGACACAACAGTTGGTTATGTAATCTGTAAAAACACCCTCACATTCCTGAATCCTTCGCTTTTTTGTCTGTTTTCCCGGAATCAGACGGCTGGTTACTGCTGCCCTCTGCTGGGCGTCCAACAGACCCGCTCCCTGCAGCGGCCCCGTCGGTAATGCTGAGTGCCTTCACCTTGGACTCTGCGGGGCTGCTGGAGCGACTCCCAGAGTGACTGCGGCTGCCGCTCCGGTGCCCGCAGCGTTTGCCCTTATGTGGACTTGGACTGCGTGACCTCATCTTCATGACAATGGTGCTATCGTCTTCTGAGCTGAACTCAGAGCTGTCTGAAGAGCTCTCGTGGTCGACAGTGGGTAGCTGGATCTGAGGAGAAATGAAAGGGAGTTGGAAAACGCTGCAGGATGAAAGCCTTTTATTACAACCAAAAAAAACGCCATGCGAATGATTACCTGAAATGGCTCTGTTACACCTACAATGGTGCTCATGTTGTTGCTATAGTAACCCAAGATAAAGTCCCCTGAGCTTTTGGGTAATTCCTCCTCTGTAAAGGTTACCTGGAAAGATAATCAGTCATTTATCGAATGTGACAGAAAAATTATCTGTGAGGAACATCCAGCGTGCATCTAGATTACCTCATGTTCCTGTCGGAGAAAATCAGACTCATCCTGCTTTGCCCACACATATCCAACGTAATCTTTATGGTGCTTGAAACCCACCTGTTGGTGTGACAGCAACATCACACCAGGTAACTAATGCACCCAAAGTAGTAACGCCAAGAACGACGCTTATAGATGTGTTTGTTCTCCACACAATGCCTTCTGTGAGGGAAGCAACAGTGCAGGTTACCTTGTACAATCCGATCCAGTCCCATGAGCTGCGAGAGAAGTTGGGCACCACTTTGAATATCACCTTCGCATCTTCAACACTGTTCCACTCATCCTCTACTATCAGAGTGACCAAAGCAATGTCCACCCTGTATGGGAACTGAAAAGATTTAACAGTTTAATGTCTTCCTCATATCATGCAATCCTATTCCTTTTTTTTTTTTAAGAAAGAGGAGCTTGAATTAGATGCATCCTAGACTCGCAGTAAAGCTTTAGGAAAAAGATTCTTGCCAAAAACAGTAGCTATGGATGGAAAATGAGAGGAGAAAAGCTGCTCAAACAGTTTCTGTTATTCTAAGGCTTCATTGGTAGATTAGCAATGTTTGGGTACTTTAACTAGTCTTAGGTCACAACTCTCTAGTACTGTTTCTGTGTTACAGCTATTTTACCATCTGAAAAACCTGTCATAAAATATACCTTAACAGTCAGTGAAATCAAATCTTGACTATGGGCCTGAAATTAAATTGAATATGCAGATTTTAAAACGACTTATGCCATACTTAGTCCTGTTAATAGTTTTCAGGTATTCTCTCATTTAAGTGGAGCCTCACGGATGACAGCAACTTTATGATGCTTCCCGGTGTGTCCCACCTGCAGGGTAAAGATGGACGACACTGGTTTATGGTCGCTGACGGTGTACTCCATGTGGCTTCGGTAGCAATGCTGTGTCACTTTGATCCCGCTGGTCAGTCCTGAAATCGAACCACGCTTCCCCACATTTTGAGCAGCTGGCGCTGTGGCCCTAAGGCGCCACAAGATCCGGTCAGTCCAAGCTGGTTTACGCTTCTTCCCACTGGGGTAATTTTAAAACAAAGGTGAAAGAAGAAAAAAAAGACAGTTTTAAAACAAAGCATGTAGGGAAAGAAAAGCATTTTCACAATCCCCTCAGGGTGGTGAGGACCTTTCAGAGAGCAGAGTGCTCTTTAGCCTTGTTCTGTGATCTCTGATCAGTGGCCTAGAATTTGAAATGGCACTCCTGGCTTCACCCACCTTGTATCATATGTGTTTGTTCCAACATCAAACTTGTAGGTGGGGGGAAATTTCAACGGCCCCTCGTGAAATCCTTCCAATACCGTCTCACTGTCTTTGGCCATGTTTAGCTGCAGAAAATTACAATAAAAAAAAGGGCAGACTGTTTCATTAAGAAACATTAAAGACACTCTCTGTTGCCCTCTAGTGGCAAAAAAAGCTAATTAAATTCAAACTAAGGATTAGATGAAGATTAATTTTAATTCGATTCAGCATCTTAAACAAAACGGTTATGATTGTAAATACATAAAATAAAACATAACCCAAAACAAAGAGAAACCACATGTTTTATGTAACGCTTTTAAGGAACAGCTGCTGTCCTGTAGTAAAACACAAAAACAAACATTTTTCTGTTTTACCTGATCCTTCTCCCACAACATGGGGAACTTGTTGTTGTCTATGGCTGATTTTACAGCTTGGATTTCCAGGTCTTCAATGCGGAAATTGAGATCTCCAAACCAGAACACAAGACTTAAAAAAAAAAAAAAAACAGATTTGATGAGAATCAATCATTAAAAAATAATCAGAAAAGAGTCTGTGGTTGAAGATGGTGATAGAAAACATGTGTAGGAGCATCTCAGTCTTGTGTCATAAACCATGATAATAACTTTGGACACTGGGAAACAAGTTTCCATGCTTTATATTAAACATGTGTCATTAATTGGGTCTATATAAATAAACATATCCATTGTGTCAGGAGGATTAAGGTTTGCCCGCTGTTGGACAGTCAAGTTTCTGCAACTCTTTCAAAGCCCAAGACAGTGGCTGAATCCCAAACTGGCCAGCCAGTCACTGACCAGCTCTATGATAAGGGAAAGCCACAGAAAGGTAACTGATAAAGAAATCGGCAATTCACTTAGTGCTGCAACACGATTTTAATGGAATTTTTTGTGGAATGATCACGCATGCTAGAAAAAGGAGACGGACAAAAAGCAATAACTGAAGCCTTGCCAGGTTTCTAAAGCTGAGCCTATTAGCCTAAGAGCTTCAGGTTGATTCATGAAATAAGCTGCAGCTCTAACCAAAGCTTTAAGATACATGACACTGGAGTATCCAGGGTGGGGTTGATATGATATTCCACCAAGACTTTTCAGCTGACCACACTGCCAAAAACACCAATACCAGGTTTGGACTTCCATTTCATGCCAGCAGAGCTACAAGCTGATCAATTCCATGCTGCATGGATGGAGTAATTCAAGCAAAAAGGCCTACAAAAATATTAGGTTGATATGTAAATTTGGAGTTTGTTAAGCAGGAGACACATTACTTTTTTGCCCAATTTTTACCACATATTCAGGGAAAGTCTGTGTCAGCCTGTGCTAGTTGTGGTCAGTCTAAGGATGAATCCACAAGAAAAAACAGTTGATGTGAGTTGGGGTGAAGTCTGGAGTCCGCAGGCATGTGAGATGAACCAACCTAACTTGACCTTAGTCAAATACACCTGTCTGAATATTGTGACAAGTATATTTGGTGTTAAACAGCTTGTTTTCCTACACTAAAACACATTACGCTATGTTGAATTACGAAGGTGAGAACCCTGAACAATATGAAATAAACCCACGGGCATCACACAAGCTATCAGCGAATAAACTACAACCAGATAATGATGAAAAAATAAAAAACAACAGATAGATAGTGAGATATTCAGGAGTAAAACACAGTAAGTAATACAAGGCCTTAGGAAATAAACCTTATAAGCTCAGACATTTGCTCAGGGGAGACCCTTTTGGTGAAGTTATTATTTTTCTATTTGATTATTTTCTTCCCCAAAAGCCCTTTGATACTTAATAGGATGTATTAAAGTTCCATTTTAATGTATTTCATTAGAGGAATGTACCCCAGGCACCTTGTTATGTTTGCCTCTATGACATGCACAACAATTGCCTGTTCACTGTGTGCAGAGGCAGAGGGTGGAGCCTAGAATACGTTGCCTTCTATCCACATTCTTTTGAACAGTTGTTTGCCAATAAAAAGGAAAAATTAGTCAAATATAGAAATAAAATTTAAGCACAATCATCAGATGTCACCAATTATTTGATCATATGGGCTAACAACATACCAACGCCCCAGCATAGCACTCCCCCCCCCCACCACCACCACCACCACCACCTCACACACACACCATCCAATGTTCGATTGAAGTAAAATGTTAAAAAAGTCTCTGCCAGTCTGAAAATCTCAGGAATAAACAACACTTGAGGTAAATAAGCTGTTTGTGGACGACGAGGGGAAAAACTAATCCATCTGCACCTACTGGTCGTCTCTGTGTTTGCAGTCACAGCTGGCAGAAAGGCTAAAAACCTGAGCGTGTTGTCCACCACGCTCCTATGATGTCCGCTGTATTTGCATTATTGTAAGGTAATTATTTTTTGGAAACTAACAGTCTGCTAGGTCACAAAGGCTCTGTCCCTAAAATGAAAGCTGCGGTGTTCTATAATTATAAAGATTAAACGGACAGAAAACAGAGCCTACTGTTCTTTTTTTTTTTTCAAAAGATGTCAAGTGATATTTTTTTGTCTGATCATTTTGTGGCGGTGATGTTAATAAAGTCCTTCAGGAAAGGAGGTAAGGATACAGATTTAATAAGTCAAATAAATTTTAATGAGCTGAGAAATATATATTTTTTTTATTATACTCGTTTTATTCACTCTCTTTATTCCTTGTTTTATCTGTGCTTGTTTTTTTAAATTGTTTCAGAAATGATTCTCTAGATGTGCACTCTGGCCAAATATCTAGATGAACAAAGTACAGGGGTTGGGCATCCAGGGCAGCGACTGCAATGGAGGATAAGAATTTAACCCATTACATATTCAGTATGAATCCTTTTAATTAGTTGTTTTTTTTTATTGAAACTTTTGTTTTTCTTATTTTTTATATTGCACTACATGATAGTGTGCGTGCAGCATCCAAACCTGCTCTCTGATTGTTTTATTTTATGGGTTCAGTGCAGTTCAGTCAAAAATAAAAGCTAGATTAGACTTACCTGATATAACTAAGGATGACAAAGCAGCAAGACCTATTGTATTTTTATAAATGGGGACAGATAGTGGGACTTTTACTTCTTTCTGTTCATTTTTATTCATTATTTCGGTTGTTACATAAATGAGTTCTGAATAAATAAGTTTTGTTAATAATAAAATATAATATAATAAACGAAACTAAATCACGTACTTAATAGTTGTTCAGTTTCTTTAGTTTTATATATATATATATATATATATATATATATATACTATTACCAGAACTTCAACAGTGAGTTGTTGGCTCATTGTTTACTGTGCTGTCTTGTTTGGCGTCCTTAAGACAGAAATGGCTGTTTGCATGTGTGCATGAAAGTGCAGAGACTTACTCATGATCCAGAACACCAGTGGCTGTCTGGCCCTCAAACTGCTGCTGCTGCAAGATGCTCTCAAAGTCCTCCATGCGCTCGTCGTGGTTTTCCATGTGAGCAGGGAGGTGACAGTTCAGAAAGCAGATGCTGTGGCCAAACACCATCATTCGGGCACTAACACCACCTTTATTGCCCTGCAGCATGAACATAGCAGAAGGCAGAAGTTTTTTAAAATTGACTAAACTGAAGGCTTCTAACACTTTAATTAGCACTCAATATGCTAAATGATTGTATTAATCTTTTCTATTGTATTCCTTTGGGTAGAACTGTGATAGCAGGATATGTGAGTGATTTTCATCAGTAATTGTAGAAAACAAATCCAAGAACAATAGGCGGCATGGCATGTATTGACTTTATTTGCTGGTATGCTCCACAGCAAAACAGGAAGTGCTCTCATTAAAGAGAAGACGGTATAAATATTTAATGAATAGTACACACGGGGGGACAAAATGAGTGAGTGGATTATCTGCTGCTACTTATCTGACTTCCTAAAACATTGTTCAGTAGAAAATGTGACTTTCTTGGCAAATACTGAAAGAAAGTGATCAAAAAGTCTATAATAATAACGAAGGTACTCAAGCCGTGGTACAAGTACCCCTGGTGGTGCTTAGGTTAATTTTACTTTTACACTAAAGTTATTTTTCACATTGATCTTTTCTTTAGAAAGAAATTATTTAGTGCCTTCAAGAATAAAAAAAAAAAAAAAAACAACTGCAGCAGGTAACAGTGAAATCAGAATAAACGATGGAGGTAGCCAATTATCCTCTGAAGATATTAGGCACTACTCTAAAACAAGCACCCTTATTTTCAGTTCACAAGCTAGTGAACTAGAGGGATGTTGTGTTCAGGGATTAACTTGGTTGATTAAGGAGAAATTTACTTATAACGTCGACTCAATAGTCAAAATGTTAATATAAATCTGTGTTTTTGGGGGCTAAATTCTTTGTATTCAAACACTAAAAATGTTTCCACAGAACAAGTTGTAAAATTTCATGAAATAAAACCACATTTTTAACATTATAAGTTAGATAAAGAACAGCAATAATAATAATACAGACTCTGACTATTAAGTTGTATACTTCAAATTACTAGTTAGCATTGCATTTGCTTCTCTTCTTTTGTAGATTAAAAAAACGTCTTTTGAAAATTGCACAACACAATTATTTTATTCTCATGAACCAGTTTCTGAATTAATATTGTCTCATAAGGTGGATATAAGGTTACACCACCGGTTCAGTTTGGCCATTAATGTTAAAAGAGAGCCTGTCAGTTAAATCCAAACGTCCTCCTCTCTAGGCTGTTTAACTGAACAAAGCTGAATTTGATAAACAAATTAGAAGAACTGATAAGATCCGCTCTTTCCTGCCTAGGCCCAGTGAGTCTAAGCTACTAATGCATTAGCCCTGGCAATTCTAGCAGAACTAAGCATGTAAGTGGCCATATTACCCAGTAACCCCCCAGCCCTGTGCGGGTGGTCTCCGTCTGGACTCCACGGAGGAAAGGCAGATGGAAGTATTTGGCAAAAACCAGCAGTAACAGGCCCTGCATTCGCTGGGATGTCACCTGAGGGACAGAAATGTAAAGCTTGATCAGGGTAGAGGTATGGAGAGACAAGAGAGATATGAGGAACTATTTTGCATGAGTTACACAAAAGCACATTGAATGAATGCGAAATATCATGACCCTTCCTAAAGCTTCTTTAGCCCTGCTCTGATGAATTCATTGAATACAGACAAATAAACAACACACAGTTTCTCCAAACCTGGAAGAAAAAAACTATAACGTTAACACTTTTTATTCTCTGACCTCCTTTCGTTCCTTGTTCTGCATTACAGTTTGCTCGTCTTGACAATTGCATTTCCCTGACATATAACAAGACTGGAGGCCTTTTAGCAGGGTTAAATGCAGAAAAAAACCTGACAAGTCAACTCTTTTTTTTTTTTCCCTCATTCCCATCATGTACACATGTTCATCCTTCCCTCACCCTCTGTCAAGTCGTTTACAGATCCCCACCCCCAAACCACAGTCTGAAGAAGCACAATCACACCCGGACTGAAATCCCTCACAGGCATAGATCCCCACGTGACCAACCCCTCTATGCCTGCATGCCAACAGCCTATTGGAACAATGTTGTTGCATAAGAGTATCAGGCCAACTGAATGGGCGACCAACTTTGATTTCAGCTTGCTGATTTGGAATAGCTGTAGAAACCCTGCAAACCAAAATACTAGCTGTACCAAATCTGCTGGATTGTTTCATGCTGATGTTAGAGATGATAGTGACAATCAGCAGAAATGTTGTGGTGAATCCCCAATAAATAAAACCGTCCTGTCATGGTTGTGTTAATGCAGTTAGTGGCCGATTGGCAGAGCTGCACACAGAGGACTGGAGTTTGACACCTGTTTATTAGAAGCAGCAAAATACTTTAAACCTGGGCGGAGGTTCGCCTCCCAGCATGACAACAACCCTACACAAACAACCTAAGGTATAGTGTAATGGTTGAGCTCAAAGCAGTTTCCTGTGTTAGAATGGCCGACAAACCTGCATTTCAGACTTAAAATCTGATATTGAGGTGCTCTTCATCCAGTCTGATTAAAGCACTGAATCTAGATACATTTGGTTTTTCACTGCAAGTGCAAATATTAATGCAGAGTTCCAGTGAATGACCGTTCTACAAGACATTGAATCAAATAGCCTCATGGCTTATATGCAGCCAACTTTCAATTTTTTATAGTAAAAAAGATTCAAAGTAAACCCAATATGTCCTTTTCTTCACCTTCCTAATTATAGGTTCCGTTGTGTTGGTGTATCTGAAGGTCCACCGTCCTGCATCTTTTTAGATGCGTCTCTGCTTCTGAATCAAACTGATGAATCACCTCTTTAGTATGTAGAATTACAGAGCCCTGTTCTATCAAAAATAAAAACCTGAATGTAATATATTTAAGCTCTGGCTTGTAACATGACAAGATAGGGAACATCTTCTAAGTGGTAATATTACTTTTGCAAAGCATTGGAACTTCCTATTATAGAACATTGTGTCGTAAACATCCTGTGTCGTAAAGGCCCTGACCTACTGTCTCACAGGAAGTAAACAAAGACTACTTTAGAAGAAGCTTAAGCTAATATAGCAGGCCAAGAAACAGCTGGGGGATGGCATCAGTTTCACTGTCACAGGCCAGTCCACACTGACAACATGATCCAAAAATAAAACACCACCCTGGGAGACATTTGTCCAACACTCCTTTGCTTGACAGCTCACTCACACACACTCTGGCTCAACATGTCGACTGTTGCACGCTTTACTGCAGAAGCAGTCGTTGTAGTGCCTACCACAGCTGCAACGTGTGCTTTTGTGTGACAAAACCAATACACATTTCCTCATGCAAATGCTTTATAAAGATGTTTCTGATAGCAGATATACTTTAATATATCTCAGTATTATTAAAATTTGTATGTAGCCCTCAGTGTATAAGCTATTAGGCTACAAAGGTAGAAAGCACAGGACAACGAACCAGCTGACATACATGTCTATTATAAATCATCACCCTGTCCCTGTTGCTATGAACACAAAAAGAAGAGATAAACCCTGTCGATATGTAGTGTGCACAAAGATGAGCCTTTTACCTGTTTATTTTGAAATTATTATTATTCACAACAGCAAAGAAACCATTGCTTACCAGCACATAACCAAAGGGGCTCAGTCTCTCCATGCAGACCTCGCTCCACTGGTCTGTGAAAAGGACATCTTTGAGTCTTTTGTTAATCATGGAGTTCACTTCCTGCAGCCTTGGAGAGACAATGATAAACAAAAAATATAAATAAACCCACAACAATTTTTATTGAGATCACATTTAAATCTAAACCCGACACTTCATTACCAGCTAGGTCTACACTGCTGTGAATCAGCTTTTATTGTAAAAGAGTGTCTAGTCAAAGCATGAACTCTGTCTTTAAAAAAATCGAGTCATTCTTCAAAATAATATGTTTTTAAAATAATTTTCTACAAAAACAATGGTTCAAAATATTTCAATGAAGTAAAATACTGATGTAAAATTGATGTCTGTTATCACAAGCTCTCTAGTTGTCAGTTGTCAGAGCCCAGTTATTGGCTTTTATGAGGGGAGTTATTTATCAAACAATTATCTGAAATGTTTAACTGTGAAAAATAAAGTTGAAAGCTAAAATAAAAAAAGTTTTTCCCAGCAGAGGACAAGCCAATATGAAATTGTGGAACGCATTGTTGTGACCCTCACAGGACACTCACCCTATGATGTACATGTCAGTGTTTCCGTCCCCCACGTTCAGTCCCAGCAGAGTGGTGATGTCATCGGGCGGCGTGGCGGAGCCCACGTTCCAGGTGATGATGTGCAGCCTGTCAGGAGAGGGTGTTACGTAAGCTCCCACAGCCACTCATCTCCTACAGATCTGAGTCACAGCTGGAAGACTGGATGAGACAGCAACCTCTGCCGCAACATGTCATTGCCTTCATGGCCTGCCTTTGCTTTTATTCTTTCATCATAGCAAGAGATGTTTTAAATGTGTTCCTGCTATTAAAATATTCTTACATCAGGTCGTAGGCTTTCAGTTTGGTCTAATTAGGCTACAGAATTCATAACTTCTCAATTAATACGCCAATTAAATGTTGATATTGTTCAATCAGCAATCAAATAACAAAAGTTGCCTTAAGGAGGATTTAAAGCAGGTGAAGCTAAAAATATGCCACTAAATTTTTCATATTAAATGCAAAATATTTAATTTTTATTTTCAGTTTTGGCATAGGAATTGCTTGGTGGGTTGTTTTTTTCAGCTAATCCTCTGTGTTAGGGTCTGCATATGGAATCGATTACTAAACTAGTTGACAATCATTTCAACAATCAATTCATCACGATTAATCCGAATAATTGTTTCAGCCCTAACCTGAAGGTTTTCTGTGGAAACAAGCCAGTCTATGAGCAAATGACAACATGCTATAGCAAAAGCAGATGTTTCTTCGCCACAGTCAACATTTATCTATAGGTGCAGCAAAGTGGTTGTGTCCATGTGCAAAAATCTTTTAGGAAGGACTTATTACACCTAAATTACTTTTAACCCTAATCCTCTCAGCCTTTACATTATCATGTGACAAAGTTGGATGGATACCAGGGGTGAATTTTCATTGCTTATAATGTCCCATCAGAGCAGAGGTACCTTTTTAGCTCTATGGCCTAAATAAAAGTCAACTCCTAACCAATCTCAACATAAAAATCAATTATTTTTTGATTAACCTCTTTTTTTTTTACTAATGTCTGACAACAGAAATCCCTTCTATTAGCTTGGACATTTGGTGAGCATGGAGGTTACTAGCCTGACGTAGTCCGACTCAATTCTAGTCAGAATATGAGTCTGATACTGCTCCATAGAGCTGTGATTATGGGGCGTGTTTCGAACGAACCAGGAAAAAAAATGCCTCTGCACTCAATTGGATAGACCTACAACCAATAAGAGCAACGGAGTGCGTGACGTATGTTAAGCCAGGCACAGTTGTTGTTAACAAAAATCAAAGCGTGCAGTTGCACGCCTAGAATAAGATGAGCCTTGATCGCGTTTCTCTGTTCCTCTTTTAAAATCAATTTGCTGTCGATATCTTCTAGAACAGACCTAATAGCAGAATCTACTCACCTAAACTCTCCAGCGGCAGCCATTGTTGTTGTCACCCATGCGCGCTTTGGTCACGTGGTTGATTACGTTACTGTTGATCATCTGTCCATCATCGTATAAAGCCCGCCCTGACAATTTGATTGGCCCGCCAGATATTGTGCGAGCATACTCGTGCTACTACTGAGCAATGCCAGACCGAACTTCCCGACCTCAAACGTTGTTGGCGGGACTAAGTTCGGAATGGCACCCAGGCTAGGAGGTTACTGGAGTGCAGTGAAAACATTGTGTGTCCATTAAAGCAGTTTGAGATGATTTTCTGCTTTGTTACATGAGGCGTACACTGTGATCAAAAGGGATGGACAAAGTCAGCAAGAATACTCAGGTAGGCTGGGACTAAGGAGCCCAGAGAGTGCCAATAAAATCCCCTGTTTTCATATCTCATAGTTATTTAATACATATACCTTATGAAGCAGTATTCATTTATAAAGCTTTTATTTAAAAGCTTTATACCAAATCTGAATGTTTCAATAAAATTTGGGACTCAGCAACGTAAAAGTCTTCTCATTTGGTTATTGCTAAATATTTTCAGCCTGGGTCCATTTTAGCCTCAGTTTCCTGATTTTTCTTTTCGTGCTGCAAAGTTTGATGTGTTGATTTTTTTTTTTAAGGTAATGACTGGTTAATAAGGCTGCAGCTGCCTTTCTAGTAGCTCCAACCACTAAAGTTCCTCGTCTGGTCTCTGATGTAAACAAAAAGGTATATATATAATTTCCGCACAACTGCCACTTACTTGTCTATACATTGGAGAAGTGTTTAAAAAACAAACATTCAGAGACAGCAGCAGCATCCTGATACGTTCCAATTCACAAATCTATTTTCCTCTCTACCTACATACATTGAGTTGCTGTCATGCAATTGGCAGACTTATAATTAGTATTGCAAAGCAGTCTAATAAGTCAAGAATGTTTAAGTCTGTAAACAAATAAATTCTTTATATAGAAAGTAAAAATAGGCTAAAAGTTAAAACAAACCGATAGTAGTTTATTAGAAATCCTGCAGCATGGTTTGTCTGAATTCAATGTATGGAAATATGTGGTATGTTTACTGAGGCCACTGTGTCTCAGCTATCTGGGAGTGAGATGCCTAATAAAGCATTAGGAGACATCAATGTCAGCTCAGAAAACCAAGAGATAAAGAAACCAACCTGAAGTCCTCCAGAGTCTGGGGCTGAGTGTCAGCAGTGCCAGCCACAGACAGGGCTCTCTGTGCATGCGGGTTCAGGTGGGAGGGGACAGGTGGTTGGGGCATGGAGGCTGCTCTGACCGGGTGGTGACCTGGACCCTTTGGACCTGCCTTAATGCTTGGCCCGGTGTGCTCGCCAACAGGGCGCGACGGTTTAGTGTGACTTACCACAGCGCCGTCAGGAGAGCTCTGATTCTGGTTCATTAATGGACCGACTTCTGTGTTGGGTTCAACTCTAGGTTCTGAAATATCTACAGATCCCTCAACCCTGGCAGTTCTCTGGGGCCGCCGAGGTCTTGGAGGCGCCGGAGGTTGGCCGGCGCCTGAATCAGTGCCTGCGTCCTGGCCTGAAGGTGCTGACGATCCCTCCGCTCCACGGCTTGGTCCATCCTCCTCCATTTTGTTTTGGCTCACATCAACTTGCTCCATTTCTGTGATTTCTATGGGAACAAAAAAAGAGATAAATACTTAAACTGGTGTTCTATTATGTTTAGGAAATAAAGACAGTTTGGTTTGTATTCATCCCCTATATTCAGATACCCCTTAATTCAGTCCCCATTGAAGTTCAGAAGATCCAAAGTTCATGTGGGAGAATCAGTTTAATGACAACCATTAGTCGTCTACTCCAGAAATCTGACCTTTATCGGAAAGTTCACAAAAAAGGACACAAGGTAAACATGTGAATGGAGTAGGGCTGGGTGATGCTGCCATAAAATAAAAGCTTTTTAAAGCCATATTACCATGTCCCCATTATTTTAGCCTAACAAATCCGATGAATTAACTTTTTTCACAATAACAAAAATGACAAAATGACGCACACCCTTTGGAAGGTTAACTTAATTTAAAAGGACAACAACATTCAAGCTGTAAAAATACTTGTTGGGCAATATTTCATAACAAACAATAAAAATATAATTCAATTTTATTTCAGTTTACTTGTATAACGCCAATTATCAACACATGTCATCTCAAGGCACTTTACAGTTCACCAGATCATACAGTAAAATTGTTTCAAAATTTTCTATCTAAGGATTGCATCGACTCTTTGACTCAAAGGCAATCCCTCAAACTAAGCATGCTTGTAGCGACAGTGGAGAGGAAAAACTCCCTTTTAACAGAAACAAACCTCCAGCAGAACCAGGCTCAGTGTGATAGGCCATCTGCCGAGGCCGACTGGGGTTCAAGGAGACAGAAGCAGAGATACAGAAATAAGCAGAGCCAAAAAGGCAACTGTAAAAGGCGGCCCCAGTTTCCCCAGCCACATCCAGCCAGTCACAGTCAGAGAAACAGGACTACACTGAAAAACAGGCCGATATCCAACATCTATAAACAAAATGTTAAGCCTACCCTTAAAAGTAGACAGGGTGTCTGCCTCAAGTACTAAAACTGGTAGTTGGTTCTACGGGAGAGGAGACTGATAACTAAAAGATCTGCCTCCCATTCTACTTTTAGAAATTCTAGGAACCACTAGTAAACCTGCAGATTGAGAGCAAAGTGCTCTGTTAGGAACATAAGTAACAATCATATCTGATATAAGATGGAGCTTGGCCATTTAATGCTTTATATGTGAGAAGGGGGACTTTAAATTCTATTCTGGATTTAACAGGAAGCCAATGAAGAGAAGCCAGGATAGTTTTCATCAGAACTGTAGCTGCAGCATTTTGGATTAGCTGAAGGCTTTTAACTACAGTTTGTGGACTTCCTGATAGTAAAAAATTGCAATAGTCCAGCCTTGAAGTAACAAATACATGGACTAGTTTCTCAGCATCAACCCTGGACAGGATATTTATAATTTTTGCAACATTGTGCAGATGAAAGAAGGAAATTCTAGAAACCTCTTTGATATAGGATTTAACTGACAGGCCCTGATCAAAACTAACACCAAGATTTTTTACTTTATTATATGAGATCAATTTAATCCCATCCAAATGAAGTGACTGGCTAATCAGCTTATTTTTCAAATACTCTGGTCCAAAGACTATAACTTCTGTTTTGTCTGCATTCAGAAGGAGAAAGTTAAGAGTCATCCAGGTTTTTATGCCTTCAAGATATGTCTGTAATCTATGTGATGGGTTAGCTTCATCTGGATTAATAAACAGATATAGCTGGGTATCCTCATCATAACAGTGGAAATTAAGCTCATGCTGTTTATTAATTCTACCAACTGGGAGCATATATATAGTAAAGAGAATTGGTCCTAGCACTGGTCCCTGTGGTACTTCACAGGTTAACCTGGAGCACGAGGAATATTTATTATTAATGCGAACAAACTGAAATTGGTCAGATAGACATGATTTAAACCAGTCTAGTGTTGTTCCTTAAATTCTATTTGTCAATCCAACAGGACAAGCACATCATTAGCAACCTTCACCAGAGCTGTTTCAGTGCTATGTTGAGCTCTAAAGCCAGACTGAAACTCTTCACAATGTTCACGCTGGTACAAGCGGTCACACACTTGTTTAGCAACTACTATCTCAAGAATTTTAGATAACAATGGAAGATTGGATATAGGTCAATAATTATAAATAGTTAAAAACAGAACAATCAATGAGACTATTTTATTGATCAATTACCCAGCCATAAAAAGAATATACTCTAGTTTTGCATGATATAACAACATGCCAATATAACTTTGAACACACATATCAAAAACATGGTGGCGGCAGTATCATGCTGTAAAGACAGAACAAGAAACTGGAAAGTAAACCTAGTGTAATAGAAAAGTCCATCCTGTTGATGACTGTAAGACTTTCCTGAGATCCTATTGATCAATTTCCAGCCTTGTCAAGGCATCAGAAACAATTGAACACAGCTAAATGTAATGATTTCAGAAAAAAAACAACCACGAGAACTAAAACCAATAGAGTAGAAAGACATGAAGGGAGACATCTGTTCTAACCTGAACACAATTTACTATTATCTCTACTGCTGCCACAGCAGCCCAAAGGTTTCCAATGAAAATCTGAATAACTGAGTCAGTTTAAATTTACTCAAAGCCAGCAGAGGAACAACTGCAGGCTCCAAAATCTCCTAAATCAGCAGCCTGGATTAAAGTAAAGTGAGTGAGGAAGCTGCAGAGAGAGATACAAAGAGAGTGAAGCAGGCAGAAATGCAGGATGAATTTATGACAAATAATTTGAAACACAATCCATTCAGTTGTTTATGACAAGCATGAATTCAAAAATAGATTAACAGTTTATATTTGAGTGTGTAGCATAGGGAATTATTCACACATGCCACTTAATCAAAATTCGGACTAATTATAAATAAAATTAGAAAGAAAAATGAGTTTTCATTTCTAAGTTCTAATTTCTGAGCAGCTGCTTGATGTTCAGATTTCTTCCAAAGACCTGTAAACAATAAAATACAGTATTTGCGGATAAACTGAATATTGAAGTCTGTAACCTATACAATATTTCATGTAGATGTTTGTGTTAGTCTGCCATATCAAAAGATACTCCTTTGATTTCCTCCAGAAGCAGATCAAAGTAAATGACTGCTGGGGTCCAACTTAATCTTTGAGAACAAAATTGACTCCTTTAACTTTTTATTAGACTTCTAAATTTATGTTATAATTATTATGGTGCCTTATAACACTTTCTGTTTCATTTATCAGAAGCTTTGTCCCTTTTTGGATGTTAAATGCCTCCAACAAACGTAAACAAATTATACAGTTGTTTACAATCTGCTGTACATGTGAGCATGAAAAAGCTTATTTAAGCAGCCTGACCCCAATCCATCAGTTACTGATGGTGGAAGTGTTCATCATAAAGACAGAAAAAAAAAATACCAGAGTCAGATTTTTTATGAAACTGAGAAGCTTTAAGCAGCAAATGCTGATGGTTACCACAGCCCATTCTCCACATGACTGGAATGGCATCCTGTGCATTGTGCTCAGGCTTTGGGTCAGTCGGGAGGGAGGGAGAGAGAGGCTCCTGCCCAGGGACACAGAAACAACAGTGCTCCCGTCTAATTATTCACATGACCTTGAGCAGACTGAGGCCCCGACTTTCATGCTGTGATGAGAGCCGTCTTAGTGTTTCACATGTGCTCAAAAAAAAAAAAAAAAGCGAGGGGCTGTTTTTCCAGTCCAGCAATAACCTGAATGTTAGATGGACATAGTGTACTCCTGATGTCTGTGCGCAGCATTGAGTGGGCACACGTGGATGTGAGTGGGTGCAAAATGAGGAGGGGGACAGGAGTGACAGCCCCCTTCAATGGGAACACTGTCTTTTAGCAGAGTCACTCTCTACTGGGTCCCTCACACTTCCTCTTTCCTCTGACAGTTTTTCTAGGCTCTAATCCTTCTATGTTTCTCTTATCGCACCATTTTCCAATCCTGTCTGCCCCCACCTCTTTGCCCAGACCCATTGTTCCATTTTACCCACATTTGTCGCTCCCCCTTCTCTATCTTTACTTCTCAACACAAGAGGAGAACCTAAAACGTTGGTCCCAGCTATTCCCATCACCTCGCCTCCTTATCTTCCTCTGGACAAGCCAACATTCTATGCGTTGTTTTCTCCTCGCAATCACAATCAGTGACGTCAACAAGCCGTCACAACAAATATTTTTCAATAATAAAAGAGAGCAAGCCAAGCATTAGCTTTTCTGGGAACAATTAGCACTTCCATTTCCACTCCAGCTGACAGAGAAAGGAGTGAAATGATTGGATAATAACAAACCTGTCACAGTGTTTACATGCCTCTTCCTGAGGGCTCCAGAGCTGAGAGCCAGGAAGCATGCAGTTAGTGCAACCCAAACAGCAGCCCCCAGTCGGCCTTTCTTGGCTCCTCTGGCAGGATTAATTGAAAACAAAGATGGTTTTAGATGGATGAGTCAGACAAAAATGTGACGAGCCAATTTGCTTTAGATACTGAGGGTGAAAACATATCAGCTGTTCTGCTTGTGCTGATCATTCTTCTCTAAAACCCCTGGCTGTGCTTGGCTGCATGGTGTTTATTCCTGTCAGATTCTGATCTCTTTAGTGTTTAATGTAGAAACTGAAGCTATTCAGCGCGCTGGTGATGAGCGCCAAGAGAGCCGTATTCCCCTGTGACAAGGATACTAATAATGACCCAGACAGGGATGAAACCAGCTGCTGCTGCACAGCTGTAAAAGGCTGCTTCTAGGTCCTAATGCCAAATTGCATCACTTCCCATTTTTCCAGGGGTGAGGGCATGAATTGTAGACCAGGTCATAGCAAAGGCTGCAGCAGATTAAAAACATTGTTCAGTCTTAGTCCTGAATATATAGCAATTATTCTGACATTGATAGGAATCTGTAACTGTACCTTAAAAATACTTTTTCTCTATTAAATAAATGTATAAAAATAACAGCATTTACTTTGATGCAGTATTTTCATAAAATGACTATGTTTGACAAAAAAAAAAGAAATCTTATAAAAGATCGGGGTCATAGGTATTAATGCATAGAGCATTATAACCAACCGGCTGGATTGTTTTTCTCTAGTAAGTGGATAACATCCATGGAGGTACGATAAAGGCTCTGACCACAACTTGATTGATGCATCTCTACTTAGAAACTCAAGCTGCTGTCATACTGGATCCTATCTTAGCATGTTTGCTGTTGAATTGAAAAACATGCGGTGTGTGGGTCTAAATATGAGGGAATGAAGGAGAACATAGCGGAACATCAGGTCCTGTTACGCTGCCGATGCATACCCAGACAGAACACTGTGTGTGCAGGGATTAATGACAGTGTTCTGCTAATTTTCAGTTTTTCCTCTGATGAACTAATATTCTGGTAAAACTCACTTTCTTTCCTGCAATCTTTACAGTTTTGCATGATCTAGTAATATTTTAGGGTCATTGCTGCAGGTTTGGAGTAACTGTTATTATGGCTATGTTGCATTAAGACAAATATGCAACAGTGTGACACACTAAGTACTGTACAAGAAAGCTAGTTATGGATGAAATATCAGATAAGCATGCTACAATGGCTACATTAAATGCATTTGCCCATATCCTCATTATTCCTCTCTTTTTTCACTGAAGACATTGCACCCAAGGAACGAAAAGTCATAAGCAATTTGTCAAATGTATCATTTGAATGACGCTCAGGAGCACAAGAAAACTCTGTATAAGGTCAGCATATATGCACAGATAACGTCTACCACAATGGTCACAAACTCCTAATGATGTTTGCAAACCCAACAAAACTGCCTAACCACAATATGTATTTCACCATACTATTAGGTATGGTTAAGATAGTTATGTATGCTGTTTGAATGATTTATTTCCATTGAGTGTACCATTAACATGTTTGAAAATGCAATTGATTGCATTTACAGTGTGCTTCTGGTAAGCAGAACAGATGCACTATTTAATGTAGCTGTTGTACTGATGTAAGCTTTAGTTTTAGAACAACGTTTGTTGGGCTCTGACTGTGTGCGGCGATGGAAGCACTGTAAAAAACACATTGATACAATCAACAATGTTTACACTAGAATTACCAAATATATATATATATATAGAAAGAGAGAGAGAAACCAAGATTTAAACTTTGCCGTTCAGATTTCTGCAGTTAGTCTTTATAGGGCAAAAAACATCCAGCATGCATGATGCAAATAATTACAGATTATCACTCTCAATTAACCACCTTAGGAAAAAAACAACATTCAATGACCAACTAATTACAACTTAATAATCTGCATGAAACCATCTGCATACAAATGTCTTGTTCTTTAATTGAGATGCTGGTTCATTGGATACACATCCCTTCCTGCAACAACATCTTCATGGTTCACTGGCTGCTGTTCTAACAAATACCAAGGAAACTTGAGCAATGATGGCTGCATTAGGACTGCATGGACTGCTTTTGGACTCAAGCGTTGCCATAGGTGATCCTGCCTGCAGCTGCAGTTGCACTTTAATGAACAAACTACATACATGGTTCCTTCATGAAAGGCAGAAAATACATAGATTGTTTGGGAAAACAGTAGATCATAAGCATAATAAGTGTACAAAGGAGATGCTGTGACAGAAAAGTGACGCCTCCTCTAGGCAGGAGATAATAAAATACACCAAGGACAGTTTTTATGCATAAAAAAGAGGACGAAGGTCGTTTAACTGTGCCAGTGTTTTGTATTAAAATATGATGATCTCAGACATGTGGGTGCCAACAGTCTGCAGCGTGTTCCTGTTTGAGATAGAGGATGGAAATATCAGTTTGATTCATCAGCAGATTGGAGAAAGGAAGACTGGGTGGGTTTTTACTTTATAACCGACTTTTAAAGCGGCAAAACAGACAGAGAAAGAAGGAATGTGTGGTAAAGACAGCAATAATCTTTGTAAACAGGAGCACTAGTCAATCATTGAACACCTTTACCTGTTAGGGCTATGCTGTGCGGGAAGCCTTGCTGCAGATGAGACGGAGAGGTCGTTAATAAGAGATCCGGGTGGGATGTTCTTCACGACTGTCACAGAAAAACACGGTGAACTTTGCTGCGCTGCCACCTCCGAGTGATCATCCTCCTCCTTCCTTGCTTCCCTACCTCCTCAGTCAGCGGTAGAGAGGAGGTGCAGCAGGTAGGTGGGCTTAAAGCGATGCTGACCGCAGGTTTGTCACCAGGCGGCGGGCTGCATCCTACATGAACAGTGGAGATCTACGGGCTGCAACCCTGACGCGTCCTTCAGAATGGAAAGGACAGCGAAATGCAGCAGAGCAGAGCGGCAGAAGCTTCCGCGAAGGAGCTGTAGGGTTGATAATTACACGGTATGAACACACACAAAGAGCTAAAACAGCTAGAACACGTTTGGAGAGGTGAGAAGAAACGGTAAGCTAAATGGAGGCGCGCGCGCTTGGTCACCAGCAACACGCTCGTGCGCCGATTCCTCTCTGTTTCCTTTTTAGATTTACGAGCTGTTATCTGAAACGTTATGCAAAAATTTAGTCATCCTTGTCGGTTCCTAAATGAATAGCATTTCTATGTGCTGTTAGTCTATACATTTGCCACACTGCCGCCTAGTGGTGTCTGTTGTGAAGCGCAGATTATAACGAAAACTGTTAGGTTAAAGTTTCGGAAAAAGAACAACCAAATACAGTTTGTTAAATAGGGCTTGATAAACAAACAAACAAACAAACAAACAAAATACTTTAAACATACAGCTAGAGACAAACCGTCTAAATGGATCCCTTTAAGCTCAGCTCAGTCACCACAGACCAACTTTCCTTTATGTTATCCACCTGCAGTTAGTGCATTTTACCCAGAATTGTTATTATGGCTAACGGCTGAAAAGTAATATTAGATTATATTATAATGGGATGCGACTGAATTATACATATTTTGTCTGATATGAGTCACAAAAACATCAACTTTCACTAAGCTTTCAATTTTCAGCTCATGACTAAATCTTCTCTCAGAGAAATGAGCAGCATCTTATTTATTTGACTTTTTTCTGATCTATAAGTTTATGCACACAGAATACACTGATTAAGCATTTTCAGAAAGTCTAAATGATGATGATTTGATGCTATAAGTTTCTAATAGGTTAATGAACATCTGATTTAGTATGGAGGACCAGGAGATTCACCAAAAAAAAAAAAAAAAAACATTTACCATTTCCAGTTTGACATTTAGATCATACAGAAATTGAACAGTGATTTGTAATTGCACATTTCATACAAAATTAATAAAGAAGAATTGTAAATTGTATCTATTGATTTATGATAAAATATGGTTTTATAATTCCAATTTCCCTCTGATGATTCAATGCAAAATGTGCAAAAATAGTTTTCAAAAATGATTTCTAACAAAACGCCTAATGTTATAACATGTTATATTTGAGATGGTTGTATTTCTTTTTCAGTGACTCTGCAGGATTGACCTATGGATTCATTTTAAGGCAATGCCTCAAAACACTGCTTATTTGTGTGACATCTCTAAAATGTTAAAAGGAAAATATGCAACATATGAGGAAGAGACTTGTGGACCACCACAGGTCTTGTTGATTCATCATTGGATACAATTTCCAGATGCAGGTCAAATACTCCTCTGTTCGAAACATGGTAAGCACCATCGGTTTTTGTGTGAAATATGATTATCCACGGTAAACCCAGAACTGTAGCAACATGAGCTGAAGGAAATTTAAAATGCTAGGTTTCAAGTCATAAATCCAATCAAAGACAAAGAAGTTGATTTTTGAAGATGATGACGAAACATGTAGAGGAAAGGAAGGAGGATTACCTGAGAAAGCCATCCTGATGGTGAAAGCATGGCATCATGCTGTCAGGGTTTTAAGTTGTGTTGCAGGAGCAAATTGTGCATTTCACATAATGAGTGAAATGATGAGTAAAGAACATTATTTAGAAACATGTAAGCCATGTTTAGGTATAAGAGAAGTTTTCCAAATGGGCAATGACCTAAAGTTTCTATGTCTTTTCATGCAATGTATGTAAATATCTGCGTTCATCTATCTGTGTTACTTAGTATACATATGACTTTCATATGTTTATATAAGTTTTTCTTGACAATACATTGAGAACTTAATATTATTTTAGCGTAGGATGGAAAGTATCAACCAGAACACTTTAATTGACCCAGTATTAATCATTAATAACACGAAAATAAAGTTAAAAACATGGGGTCATTGGGGCCTCCTGCAGGTGAAGGGGACTAACCAGCTGCTAAGTTTTTCCATGTCTCAAAGCCTGTTCTGACCCAAATCTTAAAGATAACTTCCTATTAAAATTGACCAATGTAATTGATTATTATTTTACAACAAAAAAATGTCTGTGGTTTACACAAAATAATAATAATTAAAAAAAAGAAATCCGAACCTAACAAATTATTAAGGTCTACATGTTTTGCTGTTTAGATGTTTTCATTGAAACTAAGTATGAATACTTCATATTACTCTCTACTTTCAACACCAATGTTTTTTTGTACAACAATATATTATGTATTTATTGATTGATGGAGTTTTTTGATCTCACAGTGAAATTCACACATCACATCGGCTCGAATAGTCAAAAAGAAGAAGAAGGTGCCAAAGGAAGAAAATGTGCATGGGGGTATATACAGTGCGTACACACCTATACATATATATATATATATATATATATATATATATATATATATATATATATATATATATATATATATATATATA